GATCGTCAATCACAACAAACTAATTACTATTTATAACGTTCCGTACAAATTATTCTAATGGAGAGAAGTAGCCTGGGTTACAGTGAAGCGCGATCTGCACAGAAGACCCACAATGTTTACCTCATTATGCAGCGCGCACGCCCCCACTCCTTTTCTGTATCCGTTCAGTGTTGCACTGCATATCATGAATACATAATAGCAACAGATTCGCTGCAATTAAGACCAGTCTGTGGTGATTTCGCGTTCACCCCACCTTTCGCAAAACTATTTCTTCCAATTCTTTTAACTGAAAACAAAATCACGACAGCTGGGCCAGTCTAAAATGGATGGTAAAGGCATACTTAATTGAATATCTGGTATCAAAAATATTTTGTACTATCTGGAAATGGATAAGTCGTGGGAAAATAAAGATCCAAATTATAACGCCAATCTAATCAACAAAATTTACATTAAACCCAAAAAAGTATTCGAAAACAAGAGTCAAGAACAAATGCATGATGATAATAATAAAAAAAACAAAAGAATAAGCTGCGCACATATAGACTGCTGAAGAAAAATTGCCAGTATGAAAATTATCTAACAACAGTAACAAATGCAAAACATAGAGCAGCATTAGCAAAATTGAGAATTAGCGACCACAATTTAGAAATAGAGAAAGGACGATACAAACAAACACTTTGCAGTGGTAGAAAGTGCACTGCTTGCGATCAAAATGAGATTGGAAACGAAATGCAAGCTGTATGAAAATAAGAGAACTAAAATGTTGAAATTTAATACATTGCAACAACACAAATACCAATAAATTGATAACAATGCTAACAAGCAATTAACAGCCAACAATACATCTATAATTGTTTCAGTGCCAGAGAAAATCATTTTAAAAAACTACCTGCTGTTCCTAAATAAATAGAGTATTTCTTTTTTTATTGTTTCCAATTTTAGCGCTTCCATTTTGTTACTTCCCTAGTTTCTCATCTTTATTGTAATTTTCTTTTTCTGAGTCAATATCCAAATCAGGAAACGATTATGCAATAAAGATTATTACGCATGGAATTGAGGATTTGCAAGACGGCTAATTTTCGCCTGAAGGTATTTTGTTTTTCTAGTCTCGCGAGCCGGCTTAAGTTATAGAAATATACACTCTCTACATTTTAAACCATTTTGCAAATACAGTTGCACAGCGCCGATAAGGTCCGGTGTATACACCAACAATGCCGTGTATATTTACAAACGAAGTCCTTGACCTATCCGGACCCAAAACGCATCATGATATATAAATTGATTCGTGGCGAATAATTTTGTAAACGGTGAAACCAGATGTCTGTAACTTGTCTGAAAAATGGCGCGAAACACTATAGGAAAGAAATGTGTTTCCACCATACTGAATTTTGCAAAAGGTTGAAAATTGAACCATAGACCCCCCTGTGATAACACCAACTGTGAGCCTCTCTTTTCAAATAACGTCGTTTTTTAAACTTTTGTGGTTATATTGTCAAGCAATTTCATTGGGAAGATTGGGACCAACATATCAAATTTATTTACATATTTTAGTTTCTACTGCCTACATCTGTTATATAACATCGTATTACATTGTATCTTCTTTATTTATTTAATGTTGCAAGTTAGATATAGGTCTTGTCGTCTATTTAAATAACCTTTAACCCTGTAACTATTACTAATTACTGCTTGCTATGAATCTTCCACTTTGAGTTGAACCAATCACAGTTCTGTATTGTACCAGATGTTTGGAGGAAGTAAATCTTGTTCTGACTTCAATGTACGTATTGCAATAAATAGGACCTCATGGATCTCTGATTTGATTTTGTCTCTTGGAACTTTACTCCATATAACGCATCCCTATCTCACCCACCACAACATATAATAAAAGGAGCGTGAAAATTATTTCCATATAATGTAAGTCTAATAACAATTAATTTATATACAATTTGGATATGCTTTTTTCATGATTTGCAAATAATATTTCAATATTTATCAAATAATTGAACAAATGAAAATTATTCATACATAGTGTTGACAATACAATCCATTCATCTATAATATATGGGAACCAAAATTGTATATAAATGCAGTCATTTTAATTATATAACAACAAATTTAAGGTTACCTTATAATTTGTAATGGCATTTGATATACATTTATAATTTGCTTATTACAATAACATGATAATGTGTTTATACGTAATATAATGAAAGCAATCTTGAATATTAATAAGTAATGAGCTATCGTTCATTATATACAAATAGGTTTAATAATTAACTTAATTATATCATGGAGGTGTGTTTATAACTCCATTATTATATACAAACAATTTGTACCACATTATTATGTACATATATAATGAAGAATCGTGTAATTATTATAATGAGCTAATATCAATAAATGTACAAACTGCACCCCGTAGTCACGTACTATTTAACATAAATATCATCTCGTATTGACCCTACTACTGACCATAATAGGTGATTTTTCGTTCAACTGCGAGGTCTCGAAAGACGCGCGTCGAACGTCTGCCGCAAAAATCGAACGATTTGATTTTGAACTCGAATTTCTTTATTTCGTAGCTCACATCGACCGGCCGATCTTCGACAGAGGAATATTGCTTTCGAACACCGTGTTCGCCATGTTCGCTACCGCTGTAGACATGTACGCATTCTCCGTCGCAGAGACTATGGGTCTTTTATCGCTAAGCTAGGTGGTCGCCTGTGACCGTCCCACTCGTCTCTGCCACAAGCTAATTTAAATACTAATGACTGAACCTACTTTTTGCTTTGCCACGAGTGCGTTTGCGTCGCTCCCTGGGGTGCCCCAAGCGACGTAGCAGGAAGTAGATGTATTTGTCCGTTGCTATGCGAGCGAAACTCGTATAAAATGTATTAAATTTATTTTGAAGTCACGCCCACTAGCATTTTATTTTTGAGAAAATTACCTAAACACCTTTTCACCTATCGATTTCGTAGTTCGCTCTCTTTTTCCCAAAGTCACCCAGTTGTGACGTCACATAGCAGTCGAACGAAAACTGAGCAGGCGCAAGGCGCCCGCGTCCCCCGAGGCAACGACGCGAACGCACCGACGATTTGAACCGACGATTCTCAACTACGTCTCCTACCGCAGGATCTACTTTTTCATTATTTTAACATTTTGAAAAAATTTTACCACTGAATTTAAAAATATTTGATATATTTATTTTTAATTAACACACATTTTTTTTCAACAGAAGCCTAAGATATTAGAAACAAGCGAATATAAAAAAACGCGGAATACCAACAATTTTGGTGTAAAATGTCGCCTGTGGCAGCTAGAGTCCAGTTGCGGCTCTCTGTGGCCCCCTAGGTTACGACGACTCTGCAAGGGAGAGTGACATGCGCTAAAACGACGTGCAAAAGCCGCCGTTTTGTTTGTGATGTAAGCGGATGAGAGTTTTAATATAAAATGTCAAGTTTTGTAAATTCAATACAATTTTGTGCATTTCATGTATTAAAAATTATATTTACTACAACAAACGTATTGTTTTTTTATTCAAAATAATGTTTTTATTTAATTTAGAAATTACTTGGTGCGGCGATATTTTTAAATATTGTGCACAATTATCCGTCGAATCGCAAATGTCAAAATGACCTCTAATGCCATAGACGTGTTTGCTTTCATAGAATTCGGGACATGTCAGAGAAATACAGATCAACCCGAGGTTCAAAGTCACCACTTATTCCCTGGGAACCTGAAGATCAAACAACGGTCCAGGATCGTTAAGTTTTAGAGGAAACACTGTTTCACTGCTTAAAATGGTGAGTTTTTAATATTTGGGCCTATTAAAAAAACGCGACCCGCTATTTCATATTTTTCGGTTGATCGCTGAGGGCAACAACTTAAGCATGGAAATGTCCCTCAAAATACATTGCGTTTGTCGATGTTTGACGCCACTTGACCTTTGTTTGTCCAGTTTTTACGTTCAATTTCACGCATAACGCGTGATTCTCGCAGTGAACTGAAAATGGTCACAGAGGGTAACGGTCAATCTCCCCAGGCAGAGTTCTATTACTATTTCACCCTTGACAGTGCATTTACGGAAATGTCGTTATCAGCTATCGATAAAATATTTTAAAACTTTCCAGTAGTAATAAATCAACACTAGATCCCTCTAATAACAAAAATACGCAAATGATACGCGTAGTAAAAGTCTTGTGGTGTTTCACCACAAAATGGCGGTGTGTGGTGGCAGAGATACTTTCGGTGATTGTCGTGGCCTGTGGTAAGGCAGAGATGAAACAAATCAAAGTTTGCAGGAACAATCGATAGACTTTACTTTATTCAAAACATGGCTTCACCAACCGACAGGTACAATGCGCATGCGTGAACTACAAGCGCGGGAAACATGCTAATAAGACCAATATACTACATTCCTCTACCCTTAGCTAAAAATTACATTTTGTTTCACAAAACTAATTTTTATAACACCATACAGAAGTAAATGCTTAACGCTAAATTTTAACAAGACTGTATGTATAACAAGCACATACAAAACAAGTACATCAACATTTGTTTAAATGCAACTACTTTTAGTATCTGTCAATACAAAATCTTTAAATCTTTCTGGTATTTTTATCTCTCTTCTTGGTCTACTCACTGCAATACTATCTTTCTCAACTTTACCCCTTTCACTACTGGGTGTAACATGTACAGAAACAGGATTAGAGTTTTCTACAGTATTGTTTTCAATAACAGGTTTATGACTAGTAGAAATAGCACTTGTACTAGTAATATCACTCGGTGAAACATTAAGATCTTCCACTGATATTACAGGCTTTGAACTATTAGTATTTGATAATTCAATTGAAGTTGA